AGCAAATAATAAAACAGTTGTCGTGGTTTCAGCATGAGTTTTTGCTGTATGTAAAGTGATTGATACATGTGGTTCTTGCCTGCTGAATGTCTCTGCTGTGGGCAGGGAGCTGAGCTGCAGGAAAGGAATATGCCCTGTTTTCTGTCTCTCATGTTTCAGGTATTGAGAGTGAAATCTGGTGCTGCTGTGACTGCTGTGTTTGTCCTTCATTTGGTGAATATCTCAGAAAAAAAGGTGTGGCTTGAAATGTGGGATGTGATTTATCAGAGGTGGCTGCTGCCAGAGAGGACAGGCCATTCCTTCTGCCTCCCCTGGTTCTGTGGTGCTCAGCCCACACCTTGGAAAACCACTTAGTCCTGCTACAACTGGATCCAAACCCAGCAAAAAAATAAGTTAAATAAAGAATGACCAAGGAGAACTTTCTATCATTTTAGTGAAGAAAGAAATGCTCTCCACTAGAGCATCAGGAAACTGTAATTGTTTATCCTTCTGATAGCCATGGTGGAGCTGCCTCCTGGAGCAGCAGTAATATTTGGCAGTACCTGGTAGGACCTTTCCGTTACTTTAGGCCCAAGGAATACTTACACTTTTAAAAATTACAGTATTTAAAAAGGGTTTACTCCAAATTTATGCTGCTTCACAGCTTTTCTGTGCTCCGACTGCAGGAGCAGAAGCAGAACCAGCTACAGGATTTAAGTGAAAGGTTTGCCTTTTCCAAGGGAAATCACTTCTCATTTCAATCTTAGTCAAATTTTGGACATGGTTTTCCTGATAATTTGGGATGAAACACCAGCAAAAATCCTGTTTGGCCAGCTCCAATAGTGAGTGCAAAAATAGAGCTGTTAACATGATCCATGGGAGCTCTGACAGCAGCAACCATTTCCTTTTTGTGTAATATTACAAGAAACCCAACACTCAATGTTTTGAGTGACCCGACACTTTTTTGCACATGAGGTCACCCCACATTCTTGCTTTAAGGCAGAAAAATATTGTTTCCTGATGTGACAATGAGCACAGTCAGATTCTCTGCAGCTCTGCCAGAGCTGGTGAGGAGCCCAATCCCCAGGAGCAGAAAGCTCCCCCTCAGTGGATCTCGGAGCCCAGAACACGCCGACTGCGCTCTGTGAGTCACGAGCAGCGTGTCCCTGGGATCCAAACCAGGAGCTGGGATGGGAGCACAGCTGGGGGTTGTCCTGCATCTCTGGCAGCAGTGATCCACCCCTGTGTGTTGGTTCAGAGTTCCTGGTTCCCAGAGCTGCCCATGCCCATGTCTGGATCCCCTGTGATCCTGTGGGGCTGGAACAAGCCCGGGGAGGTGATGACTTGATCTCACGCTGTGGAGGCTCAGCAGGCTCAAGGCTCCTCCATTTCCAGTGTCTCTGTTGGATACTGTGGAAGGAAGCTTATGCTAATCACACTCTGATGGTTGAGTATCATCTTTGCTTCCTCATGGATCAAGCAATAAATGGCTTTATTGTATTTTTACACTCGTTGATATCTGTATTATTGGTTTCAGTAAAATTTATGTTGAATTGTAGAGAGAAGCCAATTATTCCTTTCTGTTGTTGTTTTGCAAGAAGCTCTTCTGTTCATGATTCTGGCATGATTCTTTCCTTGAATTAGCAAAATGCAGTGCAATTAAAAAGTGCTTTGCATATGTGTGGGGAAGTTCAGGAAAATATTACCATGTGCTTGACTGCAATGTTTAAACCCATCATAGCCAGTCCAGCCTTTCTCATACACTGTTTTCTAAGCTCTGCCATTCAAATAAAAATAAATTAAATATTAATCCAATAGTTATAATATTCACATAATTCAGTTTTACACAGTGGAACAAAAGCAGTTAAAGCTTCAGGGTCGTTCTGCAGTATCAAGATGACCACACCTGTCTAGAACTTGTCACAGAGCTGTATTGTTGTATTTGCTTCATTCTTTTATAAAAAAGGTTTCACACTCGCCTTGGTTCTTCGTAAATGCTTTAAATCGTTTTCTGACTGAAATCAGTCCTTTTCTCTCCTCAGTGCAGTTAGTGCAGTCTGAGATCAAAGCTGCACAATCTCAGTTACTGGGGCACAGTGCAGTGCGTTGGCAAACGCGTTGGAACGATTTCCAGTAATTTCGGCTAAGTCTTAGAGGAAGTGGAAAGTAACAGAGATTAACTGAAAGGGCTGCACATTCCCTTAGATGATCTGGAAAACAAGGCTTCACACCAGAAGGTAACTGCAGTGAGCATCCAGTAGCAAAACTTGGAATTTAATGTTCTTTCCCCCTCTTGCTGTTGTAAGGAAATTATGCCCTATATTTAGTAGCCTCAACTGTAAAAACTCTTGGTTCTATTCTAAACAAGCTCATGTATCACAGCAGAGAAATAAAACTCTCTTCACATTACACAAATTATTTGGTCTCACCAACTGGCATTTTATTTCTCCGAGTCAGTAAAATTTCAGTCCCCACAATAATATCTTGGGAATAGCTCAGAGAGGCGACTGATTTACATTATTTGGAGAAATAACAGATTTTTAGCACAGGAGGATCTGGAGGGCGGGGTCAGCCCTTGTCGATGGCTTTCCCGGGTCCCAGCAGAGCGATTCCCAGCAGCGTGTCCCTCCTTGTTTTCCCTGGAGCAGGGCCTGTTATCGGTGAGAACCCGCGCTGGGCTGGCTCGCGTCCGCCTCGCCTGCCCGTGTGAACAGATTCCAGCATTCCCGGCTCCGCAGCTGGAATGTTTTACTATTGTGTTACTGGGCGCTGATAAACTTCGCAGGCTTTTTATGGTCAGGTCCTCCAAGTGGCACTTGGTGTTTTGGTGATAAGGAGACAGAGCTTTGGCGATCAGACCCGGCCTGATTATCTGTAACGCTGAGCCTGGCTTAAATCCCTCCACAATGACAGGAACCCCAGCTGGAGTGACGCTTTCCAGAGCCTGAAACGGGAGATACTGAGGCATTTTCCTTCCTCATGAGTCAAAGCAGAGTTAACCCCATTGTTAGTGACAATAAAACCGTGCAGTGGCCAAGAGGAAGGAGGTATTTTTGTATTTAAATCTCTTCCTTTTTGTTCCAAGTGGAGCGTAATTTTCGGGCAGATCGGGGGGATGAATTGCCATCGTTACACCTAAAAGCTTTCACTGGATTGCTTTAGACTGTGGAAAGGGGCTCTAATGAAACTCCTGGGCTGCAAGATTTAAATTGCTTTAAGGTGTTTATCAAAGGAGGAGAAGTAACAGTGCGTGGAGTTCTCGCAAGACCTTTGTGGCGTCTGAATCCAGCCGGTAATCGTGTCCCGGGTAAAGACATTTGGATTCTATTTCCAGCCTGCCGTGGGCTGCAGGGGTTAAGTGTAATCCAGATTATACAGTGTTAACATTTTCCCTGCTGATACCGAAGTGCAGCAGCCTGGCAGGCTGACTTGTTAGGAAGGGCTGGGAGAGAGGGAGAACAGGCTCCGACCTTGAGAGGCCGAGCCTTGTATGGCCAAGTCCATTCCCGTGTCCAGCTGATTGGTCGGGGCAGCGGCATCGGCATCGGGGCCGTGACAGGTGCTGGAGGAACCCACACCTGTTTTCCCCCATATGCTGATTTAGTGATTACATTTTTGTGGGAGTTCCAGATACTGTGTGGGATTCGCCGAGCGAGCCAAGAAACTTGAGAAGGAATTACAGCTTCTGGTGAACTGTGATATTAAAGAATTTCAGGCGGCGAATTGGATTCTCGGTTCCTGCTTGAAAACTGCAGGAGAAATAAGCGCTGTTTTGCATATCTATAAATAGTAAAGTCTTAGGCACTTTTTATTGTACTAAAAAATCGTTAGACAGTAAGAAAAAATGCTGGTGAATAGTATAAACTAAAACATTTTGCTTTAGAAATCAGAATTTCAGTGCGTTATGGAAACTGCTTTTATAGGAAAACGTGGAATTTCTTTATGGTGCTGGAAATATCAACTTGCAGATTTCTAAGATCTTTAGGGTTTTTAGTATAAAATTCATGGAATATAAATAATTTCTCACAAGAAGGAAACACACAACTCCTTCATGCCTGTATAGTCCTACTGCTGCCTTATGTACTGATAATGTGTGTCTGTATAAAATTTACACTGCTTTCCTTTTGAAGCTTTTAAAAAAGATTTTTCCACAGGTAATATTTTAAATCTTGTTTTGTTATAAACGAGAACTTGCAGAGAAAGATTTCTGATTGTGTAATAGATGGAAAAGAAAACCAAGAAATACAATTATCTCTTACACTTTGGTCACCAGACCCGTAGCTTCACATCCTTTCTCTGATGCCTGGATTGTAGACAAGTTTGCTTTTTTTTTTTTTTTCCAGGGGATGTTGGTGTGAGTTCTCCATCAGAAAACAGGAAGTAGCCCAATAAAGCAGTTGCATCAAGTTAGTCTGAAGGACTCTGAAAAAGCTTATATTTAGCAAACGAAGTCATTTTAGAGAGGGATTATGTAATTTCTTTTTATACTTTTTTGCAGTTGTTGTTATCATGCAGGATGACAGAAGTGCAGGAAGATCCTGCCTTTGTCAACTACAGAGAGTGTTACATGTATTAATGTCCTGCAGTTGTTGAATTGGAACAAAAATCTTAGCATTGTGTTTCTCAGAATTTTAACTGTGTGCTTCTTAAAATGTGAACATTAAAATTGGGGTGCTAAAATCAATTCATTCAAGATCCAAGATGTCCCTTGTCAGGCACCTTCACTCCATCAGCCAGTGTCTAAAAATGGTTTTCCAGGGAATGCTGGGGAGGTGAAGTGCTTGTAGCTTAAAGTTGCCTGTGAGGTGGCACCTGGAGGAACCTTTTCTCTCCGTGTCCTTTGCCCCTATCTCGAAGGACTAACCCTGTGTGCTGGACAGTGAGTTTTGCCTGTGAAAGTCTGCTGTAGTTTCAGGGGCTCGGATTGATTCAGTGGTGTACAAAAAAAAAAAAAAGAAAAAAAACAAAACTTCATGGCAAGTTAGTGTGATCTGTATGTGAATTTTCCAATTGTATTTCAGACCTTAAGAAAGAAAGGCCTTAATGGTTGTGAGAGCCCTGATGCTGACGATTACTTTGAGCACAGTCCGCTATCGGAGGACAGATTCAGCAAACTAAATGAAGATAGTGATTTTATTTTCAAGCGAGGCCCTGTAAGTACTTTTATTTTATCTCTACTTTTTATTTGTTGATCCTTTTTATTAACTTCATTATTTAGGCTCTGAACAAGAAGGAACACAGAGGGTGCGACAGCCCGGACCCTGACACTTCATATGTGCTCACGCCACATACAGAGGAAAAATATAAAAAAATTAATGAAGAGTTTGATAATATGATGAGGAATCATAAAATCGCAGTGAGTACTAAAGTATGGTTTGTGCTTCTCTTACATGCATGAGAATTTTCCTGGTGCTTGCTTACCACTGAAAACCACTTCAGAGGCAAGAGGATGTGATGACTTGAGAAGGGAACACATATTTTTGAGGAAAAATGAGATGCTGATACTTGATCTTGCTAAAATACATTTTATCTTAAAGAATAAGAAGAATTCTCTCTAGCTCCTGTTTTGCACTTATATCTTGTGAAGATGAGATAACATTTCTAAATTTCAGGAGCCTGGCTGCATTACCTAATCCTACCGAAAATACATTTATAAAGACAGATTTTTGTCGTGGGCTGTAGGATCATTTATTTACATCTTGTAGGTCTTTATCTGTCTGTTGATCAAGATTTTTCAGTCTGTTACAAGCAGGCAAATAAAATTGGACTAAATTTGTCATCTAATCAGTAGAATTTATTTTGTTCAAGTCTGGGTGTAGAAAGTCATTTAGGTATTTAGCGTTCAAGAGTGGTGCACAGTGAGGACCTCAAAAGATTGACATTCTAACAGATGCTTCCTTGGACACTGAAAGATCTTGGAGGATTTTCTGCCCCTTGTGCAGCCATAAGTCACTTGGCTCCAGAACTTCAGGTTGGGGATAAAAGCAGTGTTAATGTCACGTGTTTTTCATGGAGGTGTTCACGATGACATTTAATTCCCACCTACAAAAACCAATTAGTGTTGAGTATTACAGGGGAAGTATTTTCTAAGAAAACTAATACAGGGCTCTGCCACAGCCTTTGAATTTCTTAACCTGGCAAATCTTGCAGCAATTCAAGGAAATGGCCTGGCTGGGACATTTGAGTGGAAATAATTTCATTATTAGAGCAATAACAGCCATGACACCCACCATCACTTCTTTTAGCACTTTCTAGTTGAATGAAGCCAGTCTGTTTTGGTTTTTGCCTTACTTTGAAGCTTTTGATACCCAACATTTCTGTGCTGAGACATCCCCAGGCCTCACCTCCCAGTGTGTTCCAGCTCAGCTGCTCTCCCCTGCTCCTCATGAGCAGCCTCATGTCTGTGTGGACACGAGCAGCAATAAAACAGGCAGTGTTATTTTTGAGCTCTGTGGTTCTGTATTTATAACTTCAATTGGTGCTGTTCTCTTCCCATCCCCTGCACTTGTGGGGCTGTGGAGGAACACAGTTCCCCTTGTTCTCTGCACTCATTGCTGGCAGGGGACAGCAGTGAGGCAAAGCGTGAGGAATTCGGTCGTACCCAAATGAGCACCAGAGATGGGCAGGGACAGCCTTTAAGGTGTGGGGGAGCCTCTCACTCCTTACTTCTGGGTTGAGAAACCTACAGAAAAAATGTCCCAGCTGTTCCCTTCTGCCATTGTGTTCAGCACTTCAGGTATTTCCAGTTTAGTTTGAACTGCTGTTTAAAAACAACCTTTTTTTTGGTAGATACTGAATAGTTTGTTCAAGTAGTTTCTCCTGAAAACAAGCACCAGTGAGGGTTGTCATTAGTTAGATACTGTGAGTTGCTGATGTTACATCGCTGTGCTTCATTACTTTTTCCTTCCATCTGTGCCAAAAATTGATAATTATTCTTAGAATGCCTCAGTGGGGACATTGTTGGCTCTCACTAGTAAGAGATTTTGTTTCTTATTGAGAATGTATTCTGCTCTTTTAATTATATAGTTATTGTTATATTTCTAGTGTTGTCTAGATTTTCATACAGAACTATCATTCTAAGTGATTTTTAAGCTGTATGTGATGAAATTGCATTTTTTTAAGTGTACTTGGTTGGTCATCTATCTTTGACCTCTAAATCAAAACTATTATCTCTCTGTTCTGTCAATAAATCCTACTGAGTTCTTCCCCTTCAATTGTACCTGTCATGGGTTTGTTTCCAGTAATTATGAGAGCTGTGAAAGAAAATAGTCCCTTTTGTTTCAGAAACTCATCCCTGTCAAAGGATAGGAATGAGACAAAGGCCAAAGAAGTTAGTCATGACCAAATGAGTACCATAGATGGGCAGGCATCTCTGCTTTTGATTCAAATAGCTGCTGAATAACAAACATATAGACTGCACAAAAACAGCTACCTCCTAAATAATGCTGTAAAAATTAGAATGTAAAAAAATGAGATGTACAAAAAAGATGGGAGTGGTTATTCAAGCAGGGCTTTGTGGAACGTGAAATGTTTAAATTCAAGTGACTGAACTTTGTGACTTTCTAAAGATCTGTTTATTTTTTTTTTTTTAGTCTGTTGAAAAAGAAAGTTTTAGAGATTAGTAGCAATATTTTGGCAAGTTTATTAATAGAAAATATATATTAATAGAAAATGATGTTACTAACTTTCTCTTTTTTTGTGTAATAACTGACTTTTGTAACGTGCATGTTTATGCTTACATTTGGAAGGTACAAGTCATTGATTTGTAGACATGTTTAGCTTGTCATTGCTTTGTAATAATCCAGATTAACTGGTTAATTTGTTGTATTTATGGGCCTGTGAATTCACATGAATATTTTCAGTTTTCTGTATTTGAACTTGCAGTATTTCAGGAGTTTTGGAACTGTATTTATGTGATGTATAAGAATTTAACACCGTCCTTTACAACAAATGGATGTTTTAAAACTGTCTGCTTAAAAGAGTTTAAAAACTAACATAATTAACTTGTTTTTTTAAAAAAAGAAAACAACCTGATTACTCCTTGGCAAACTTTACTGTGTGTTTTTACCCTGTGCTGTTTCTGCAGTCGATGCTAACGGTGTTGTCTTTGTGTCCCTCATCTTGTCTCCCCCAGCCCGGTTTGCCTGCTCAGAACTTCTCCATGTCGGTCACGGTTCCGGTGTCCAACCCCAACACTTTAACCTACAGCAACCCCGGGAGCTCCCTGGTGTCCCCGTCCCTGGCAGCCAGTTCGTCCCTGACGGACACGACCATGCTGTCCCCCCCTCCGAGCGCCCTGCACCGCAACGTGTCCCCCGCCGCGCCCCAGAGACCGCCCAGCGCCGGCAACGCAGGTGAGGGCCCGGCGGGTTCCCCTCACAGCCCCGCTGCTCTTCGGGGTAAAACCCACAAACACACACCCCAAGTAACCAGTTCTGAGCGGTTCCTGTGCATTTGCACAGCTTAAGTACAAAATGAGCACAGAATCAGAGAATCAGCTGGGTTGGAAGGGGCCTCTGAGATCATCAAGTCCAACCCTTGATCCAACACTGCTGTGGTTCCCAGCCCATGGCACTGATGCCACATCCAGTCTGTCCTTAAACACCTCCAGGGACAGAGATCCACTCCTTCCCTGGGCAGCCCATTCCAATGGCTGATCACCCTCTCTGCAAAGAAATTCTTTCTAATATCCAACCCAAACCTCCCCTGGCACAGCTTAAGACCGAGCCCTCTCATCTTGCTGATCATTGTCTGGGAAAAGAGACCAACCCCCACCTGGCTACACCCTCCTGTCAGGGGGTTGTAGAGAGTGAGGAGGTCTCCCCTGAGCCTCCTCTTCTCCAGGCTGAACAGTCCCAGCTCCCTCAGCCTCTCCTCACAGCACTTGTGCTCCAGTCCCTTCCCCAGCCCTGTTGCTCTTCTCTGGACCTGCTCCAGCCCCTCAGTGTCCTTCCTGAGCTGAGGGCCCACAACTGGACCCAGCACTCCAGGGGTGGCCTCACCAGTGCTGAGTCCAGGGGAAGAATCACTTCCTTGGCCCTGTTGGCCACACTGTTCCTGAGCCAGGCCAGGATCCATTGGCCTTCTTGGCCACCTGGGCACACTCTGGCTCCTGTTCAGCTTCCTGTCATCCAGTGCCATAAGGGGACATGTTGGTTTAATGCTCTTCTTTTGCTCAGGTGGAATGCTGGGGACAACTGAGCTCTCAGTGCCAAACGGAGCTGGTACCAGCCCAGTGGGTAAGTGCAGCATCCTCCTGCCCGTGCTGAAAAATCTTGTGGTGCTTTCAGTTACTCAAAAGCATGTTTTTGTTTTGGTTGTGGGAGAACAAAAGGTTGTAATTTTTTCAGCTGCCTTGGAATTGTCAGGTTTTGTAAATTCTTAGCAGGCATTTTTAACTTTTTACTGCCGTGCCCTTTCCACTGCAGTAGTACTTGTGTTTTTTATTTTAGTGGTTTTCAGCAGCACCATGCTGCTCCTGCTTTTGTGTTTCTCTACAGGTGTAACTGCAGCATTCTAAAAAGATCTTCTTTTGCCAAATTTCTTATATTTGAAAAAGAGAGTTTTAGAGATGAGTAGCAATATTTTGGCAAGGTTATTAATAGAAAATGTTGTTCCTCACTTTTTTGTGTAATAATTTACTGTTTTGTAATGTGCATGTTTATGCTCACATTTTGAAGGTGCTTTTTATGAAGTTCTCTGAGCTTGCTAAACTATTGCACTAAAGACAACTCAGCTCAGTCCCCAGCTTCAGTATTTGCAGGACCTGGATGTTTGATACTGGTATTGGTGCCAATCAAAATGAAGCAAATACAGACTGTATTGTTTGTATTGCCATGTGTATCTTGCTAATTGTTTTCTAGCAGTTCTATGAAGAAAGCAATAAATCTTGGAAGCTGATAGCTGGGGTCTGTCTTCATTTTGGATGATGATCAGAATTTCTTTTGAAAACAAATTAGAGATCTTGCCAGAAATCAAATTCCCCGTATTTTTTGGTCTTCAGTAAAAAAATATGAGGGCACTTTTTCATTTAAATAATATTTTGTCTCCCCTAAATAAAATGTAGCACTCTTGAGAGAGGGCAAGGCAGCCATGGAAATTTAGTATTCCACAGAAAGACCAAATAAATGGCAATTCCCTCACTTTGTTCACGTTCCTCCTGTGACTTTGGATGTCTTGGTGCTGAAGGTCAGTTCTGCAAACACAAGTAACTCCCCTTGGAATGTGTTCATAGCAAGGAATTAGAGAAGCAACTGTTGACCTTTCAGGATTTGCCCACTGGCTACTTAGTGTGGCAACTGGGAAAAAAGTTCTTTGAACATGGGGTCAGGCAGTTGAATTGATGAATAAAAAATGCTGCAGCTCCAAGGCTGAAAGTGCAGGATTGACTTTCCACTCTTTCTCCATCCTTTGGCCGTGTGCAGCAAAGATATGAAATATTAAAGAGTGGTTTCCATCAGGTAAGCAGGATTTTAAATGGAGGAAACTTCCTCAGCTGAAAAAAACATGACTATTTTTAGAAACTGTGGAGGTCAGATGTTGATTGCCATAGTATTTCTCTAGTCAGACTAAATAACTTTATTATCAGGCTGTCTCAGGCCTCTTCTCCAAAATCAGGCTTTAGTAACAGCAGCCTCAGATTTAAGATTCCTCCTTTCAATAAGCAAATGAAACAGTTGTTTGCAGCACTTCTGCAGGGTACTAAACTCTAGAAATGCCCAGTTCCTGCAGCTTGGTGAACGTATTTAATGCAGTAAAATGTTTTCCTTCTTGCATTTATTAATAGTCTATGTAAAAAGTCAAAATGCATCACTTATCTCTTACTTTGCAGAACATCACACCCAAAATGTTATACATGTACCCACTCACTCCTAGAAAGGTTTGTCATGCAAGTGAGAGTTGGGGCTGTACCAGAACAGGGGAACATCTCTGAGAAGCACCTCCAGTGAAGCTCAAATACCTGGTTAACACCAGAATGCTGAACCAGAGAGTGCCCTGAGTTGTCAGAGCTCTACTTTCTACAAGTTAGGGCATGAAAACCTTTAAATAGTGACAGGTGCACAGGAACCTTCTCAATGGCAACCAAAATCAAGAAACCATATGTAACCAGATTGATTAAATCTGCTAATTTGTCAATTTGAGCTTGACAGCTGCTGTTGAAATGTATATCCTGTTAATTATGTCTGCAGACAATAATGGGTTTAGTTTCTCGCTGGGTTTATTGTAGAACTCACTTCTAAAAAAAACCCATTTTCTTCTTTTAGCTTTCAGGGTTTTTCTTTAAACTTCTCAGGAATGGAGAGTTCTCCTATGGATGTAGTGAAAGGTCATGTGCCAAATGTGCAGCTCACAGTCTATAGGAGTGATGTCAGAGGTAAAAAGCTGGAGTACTGGCATAGCCATATTCCCAGATATTCCCTTATAAGTAAAGGAAAAACCCATCTTCTACATGATGAAGTTTTTGTGCATTTGAGATTTTGTTCTCGTTTCCTTGAAAGACACTTAAATGCCTTTATCTCTGAGTAAAAAGCAAGTAAAGGTTATCTTGCTTATTTGGGACCCAGCTCAAACAAAGATGTTGCATAAAATGGCTCATATTGAGTTCACACGAGTCTTTTTCTCAAGTCCTGTGTAACTTGATTGGAATGGAAATGATTTGCTTTAGCAGTCAATCTGCCAACTTAACAGTTTTTCTGTGGAAAATAACTTCGAGTAAAAATATCTGCGTGTTGTAGCAGAGATTGGTAGGTGGTTTTTTATATCCAGAACAGAAAATTTTGTGATCACTTTATAATACTGAGAGCTTACTTCACATGCAGCTGTCACAGCTCTGAAAAAGCATTCTCATTTTTGTAATATTTTTAAAATCCTGCCCACCACATAAAAAACACTTGCTGAAGATTTTTACTTGGCAAATAGATCGGTTTTGAGAGGGGAAGAATGTCCAGCATTATGACAGTGCTTGCTTTTGAGCTAATTTATTTTTTCTGTTAATCAGAGCAGAGGTTTTTGAGGCAGAGCTTTGAGGATAGTGCTGCACAAAGTTTGGTCACCCTGAGTGCACAAAGGCTCCTGCTCTGTCCTGTCACTGGTGCCAAGGCATCGTGGTTTGCCCTCCTCTGATCTCTGAGGTTACACAGGTCAGTACAACAGTCAGGGTTTCACCCTTCTCCAAGGAAGGAGTTGAAGGATCCCCGAAGCACATGAGAGCAGCCTGTTCCCTCCTCCAGCTTCCCAGCTCTCCTCCTGGAAAAGGAGCCCTGGAAGTGGCCGCAGAGCAGCTGTTTGGCAGGGTGCAGGCTGAACCCTTCTCCTTTGCTGGACTGCTGTCAGCACATAACAAAGGTTGATCCATCCATCACCCTGTGATTAGATCAGCTCACAGATGACTGGCTGAAATCAGCATTAAAAACATGCTGGTAGAAGAAAGCATTTTAAATTGTAGCTGTTTGTCCTTGGAAACCACCCATCTGCATGAGGTCAGCTCAGCCCCTGAACTACCCTTGGATTTGAGTTGAAATTTCATCTCGTGTGTGTTCCTTACCTTACTGTAATTGCTGATTTGCTGAGAGGTCCACGACAGTTCTGGTTAGAATTTGCCATACATATAACAAGTTATTAATTTCCCAGCTGGATTAAAGTAATTATCAACATTTCTGTAACGTCCCCTTGCCCAGGATACAGTGCCACACATCCTCAGGTGTTCTAAACACACCACTTCTCCATCCTTGGCCATTCTTTACATGGCTTTGTGTAGACACACAGAAACCAGCAAGTTCAGAAACTAAACTCTTATTTAATTAGCTGTTAAAAGAGATCTAGTTGCCACTGCTCATGTTTCACATGGGCACAAAAGCATGATGCCTTTATTTAGATTTGCTGTTGCATCCTGAGTAATAACCCTGGTTTGAAGGAAGCCCGTTTAAATTCTGAATATCCTTGAAAATTCTTTCTCCTTTTATGTAGCTTCAGGCAAAAAAAATTTCCAACAACCTGGGAAATGAAGGTTTTTTTAAGTTTTGTAACATGAGTAAGCATTCCCTTGACATTTAGTCATGTGTATTTCTTTCTTTGCTGCCTTTTAATATCTAAAGTACTGCCTTAGAAGTATAAATCTTACATGTTAGACGTTTCAAGATCTTACATTACTGTCAAAGGTATCTTTTAATTCTGGTGGTATTATCTGACACATTGATTTGTGTAAAGATCAGTAGAAACACATTTATTGCAGCTTCCTTGAGATATTATCGTGAACTCTTTCCAGGGCTAACACAGAACTTGGGCTTCATGAAACAGTGGCAGAATCAGCAGTGATTGCTGTGCAGAGCCTGAAAATGGTTTTAATTTCTACTTAAATCTGTCCTACTAAACCCCAGAGTAAGCAGATTGAGCAGCTAATGCACGTAGAAATGCTGTTGTTGTGTTTGCTTGCAATATGTTCCCCCCGCCCGAGGTTTTACATGTTGATGTTTTCCTTCAGCAGATCTTATCTGCTCTCCTGATGCCTCCTGATGCTTCTTGCAAACCCAATTTTCAGTCCACTTCTAATGGTGTGATGTTTGTTGGGTCGTTATGATCTCATTGGAGGCATAAATATTTATCACCATCCTTATTTTTGCTTTACCTTAGGTGGCTTAGCTGCCTGCCCACCATTATTTTCCAAGGCTCTGTATAACTGTCCAGTTTCTCCAAAGGTGAACCACAAAAAAAAAAAAAGATTAATGGCATCAATGCCTGTAATTTATTCCTTGAGTAGTAATAAGTACATGGAGTACTTTCCAGCCACGTGTGTTCATTGTTTCAGCTGATGTGATTTATAGAGTGAAATATGAGTCTGGCTCATGTAATTGAATGCTGTGTCTTGGGCTGCAGGACAGTAAATGAGATTAAGCTGTATTATGTCTCTGAAGGCAGAAGATGCAGTTGCTGCAATGGGTGGGTTGTAACATTTCTCTTCAGAAAAGAAGTTGCTTCAAAAGTAAACACTTTGTGTCTGAGCAAGAAGTGGGTTAATGTGTGTTGGCAGGGTTTGTTATCATAAAATCTAATTAAATTGTGATTCATATAATTGAGAGCTTATCTTTGCACTGGTGTCTGTTTTCCAAAGGACTGTTTTGAACATGCTTTCACATCTGTTTTAAGGAATTAGAGTTAAATAAAACTCTTCCTACGGGAGTAAAAACAGTCTTATTTTCACACATAGGCAGGATTTTATATTCCGGTTCCATGTTCAGTTTGATAATGTGAAGTATTGTCTTTGGGGAAGACCTGCAGTGGGTGGGGTAGAAACAATTTCTGTACTATCCAAAGTAATGAGTAGAATTTATGGGGTTATTAAAGCCTCCCCTTGGCAAACAGCCCTGGAGTTGCATCATCCTGTGCTCATTATCTTTTTCTGGCTGCTGACCTTGCTCTAAGAAATACCGTGTGTTTGGTTACCCTTTCACTCTTAACTTGTAATTTGATTTTATTATTAGATTATTAAAAGGGAAAAAGGCTTGAAGTTTCATACTCAAACTGAACATTCTACAGTCTTATTGCAGCCCCAGCATATGAATCTTCAGATAATCAATAGAGACACTCCAGTGTTTGCTGAGTGTTCAGTGCCAGCTCTTTATCAAAGGGCTGCAATTGGGTTCATACCCACAGTGCTGCACACTTAGGGCATTATTTTGGGTTTTGTAATATATTCTAAACACTCCCTTTAAGAACTGCTCAGCCTTTTGTCTGACTAAATGCTCTAACTGTGCCCTGCTGCCCCGTGACACTGGGCAGAGGAGGCAGTGGCAGGGAGTTTGTTGTTTTTGACAGCACCACTGAAAGCATGAAATGTTTCTGTAGGATTGGCAGAGCCTTGGAATAAGGGCTCAGGAAATGACTGGATTGGGTGTGGGAGAAAGACACTGTCCAGATTTAACACAGGGGCTACTGGAATACTTGAAAACAGAGGACAGGAAATGGGATCATAGGATGGCCCAAAATGCTGTAAATTCTGTACAGAACCCCATTGTTTGCACAGAGGGGGATTGTTGTGCAGCTCAAACTCGGCCCAGGTCACCACAGCCTTGGCATGGAAAGGTACCACTGACAGCCCAGTGAGTAATAAAATTTGTTATTACATTGAAGCCCAGACTCTACTTCTGTTATAACAGCAAGTTCTTTAAATGTTCTGGCATTTTTGCCGCAAATGGGAGGTGCTGTAACAAAGCTTTAGATGTAATTTGGTGGAAATTATGCCACTTGCTAAGATTTTTCCTCCCTCATGTCTTTTTCCAGATCCATTTGATTTTTACCCTGTCCATTGTGTAAGATTCCTCTGGCACTCTGGTGCCCTGCAGGTTGTCTGGAACTAATGCTGCACTCTTTTAGGATGGACAGGAATCGATGCATAACTTTGTGTTGAACAAAATCAGGATTCTGCAAACACTGTCTCAGTTTCAGGAGCCTCAGGGGTAGCACAGAACTTCATTTCTCTTTCTGGCCAATTGTTTTTTCCATGTGACCCAGCTGAGGTGAGTTTTCTCCTACCAGTCAAGAGCATATTTAGCTCTAGTGTGTATTCTCAGCTCCATCAGCCACCCCAAGTAAATTTTATCACTAACAGGAGCATCTGAATGAATTCTGCTGTTTTCTGCTGAGGAATGTAGATACTTTAATCACAAAATGGGGTTTTGATGTGGGTTTTAATACAGAAAGAAGAATGCTGACATAAAAAACTTTTTCTTTTTTGCTGTGTTCCTTCTTTCCCCCCCATGACTTCTAAGTCACATTCCCATATCTCCTATAGAAATGCCTCAGGAAAGTTCTAAATTAGAATAACTCCTCATTGCTCTGCCAACCTTGGGAAACTCCAGGGACATCTCATTTTGTCCCTGTATGGTCAGGCTTTTGGCACAGTAGGAAGTCCTCAGAGCAAGGAAATCCAGAGGTTTCCTCACCATTATCCTGGTGAATTCACACTGAAGTTCTCAATGCACATGGAATATCCCAGTCACCCTCAGGAAGTGTTGTGCTCTTCCTGATCCATGTTATTGTTCTTCCTCCTTGCTAAGCTTTTAAAGGCATTTAAAATGTTGCTACAGGAGGTAGAATGTGACACTGACAACTTCCTTATTTTAATTGCTTTTAGATTAATATGTATTTAATGCAATAAAATTGGATTGGGCATAGGGGCCTATTCAAATTAAAATAATAATACAAAATCCGTGCCCGTGTGGCCCTACAGGCGATTAGGGGAGAATTTCCCACACAGTGAACTTTGTCTCACAGACTTTCCCCTGGTTGGGACTATAAAAGCTGCTTTCAGAACTGCAGTGTTGGTGCAAACAGGATCTCACTATGAATTGAGTTTATTTATACACACTCAGGTTCTGTAGGGTGAACTATGGGGTTCCCTGTTGCGAAATTCTCCTTAACAACTTTTCCTTTTTTATTTCCTATTTGCAGCTGAATAAGGTGTGTGTATTTGGGGGATTGTTGCTATAAATATGAATCTGTGACTGGAACGTGGCTTGAAATTTTTTTTCTGAGGGAAATGTTTTGGTTAACATGATTGGTGCTTTTGTCAGTACAGAAAAGTAGAATATTGGGCACTTCACTGATTTACTTCTGATCAGTTTTGAGTGTGAGCTGAGGCTTTGAGCATTTCAGTGCTGAAGCCCTGCTGGCTTTGGCTGGTCTAATTCCACTTAAAATGAGTACCAAGAGTAAATGTGTAAAACAAATTGATGACCATAAATGACATGTATAGCTGGAATGAACTTGAAGGGAGAGGATTTGTTCTCCTCCTTGTTGCTGAATGTAATAATCAGTATATACTGATGATCCCGAAATGAGTCCTGCAGATCTTGAAGACACCTGAAGAATGCATTGTAGAAACAGGCACTTGGAGAGCTGACTTCTTTTATTCTGACCAACCAAATCCAGTGCAGCTCCTGTCCCGTGGGGGTGGGGACCCAAGTGGGGCTGGGCAGAAGCCCCCACTTTTCTGCAAGCTCAGCCTGGAGGAAATTCAGAGGGCAAACCAGACCCAACGGATGTTATTAGAAACAGTTCTTTGGCAATTTGCTCTTCTCAGCATTTGAGCTGCCACAGCTGCCCTTGGAGTGATATTCCCTTTCCATATTGATTTCTGGGCAGAGCGCTCTGGGCCGCTTCGATTATTCGATGCGGAGCCTCTTGCGGGAAGTTCGTTATGGGAAGTTTTGCAAAATAAATATTTCAGAATGGGTACAAAAGCACCAGAACTCTGTGTTGTCGCCCCTTCCCCTTCACAGGTCATTTGTTTTTTGCCCTTTCAGGAAATGGGTTTGTGAACTCTCGAGCTTCTCCAAGTCTCCTGGGCACCGGTGGTGGTGGGAACGGCCTGGGCAAGGTGATGCCCACGAAGTCCCCACCTCCCCCTGGAGGAGGGAACCTGGGCATGAACAACCGCAAACCCGACCTCCGTGTGGTCATCCCCCCCTCCAGCAAGGGCATGATGCCACCTCTGGTGAGTCCAAACTTCTGAAGCTTTTGAGTTCTTTAAGTTCTGGGAGTGGCTTTGTGGAAATGGGGTGTTCTGCCTCCCCTGCTCACCACGGGCTGCAGGAGTAGGGAGGGGTTTGTGCTCTGAAACGGCACTGCTGAAAGTCCAAATTATAAATTGTGACCTGGGGAATTTGTTAAATTCATAAGCAGTTTTTTGAGGTGTAAAATAAGTCTGACCTAAACAGGGTTGGAGCACAACCCTAAAGACAGAGATTGAGATTTTGGTGGTTTGATCTGACCGACTCGGTACCGAGAACTCTGTTGGTTTGGAGGATGTGGGTTTTAAAAAGGGTTGTGCATTATTCTGTGGAGGATCTCAGTGGTGATGTGAGCTCTATTAACGTGCCCTGCAGCACATTTTGTACCTGTTTTTCCCGGGCTGTAATGGCTGTGGGATGTGAAGGATGGGAAGTGCAGCTTCAGTGGTAACGATGGTCTGGAGAGGCGCGTCTTTGATGTGGGGTGTTGGAACGTGACCTTGGGCGTCCTCAGTGGGGGTTGTGCCTTCATCCAGGGCATGAAAAGGAGCTGAGGTGCCTGTCAGAGCTGCTGGGCACTTTGGCATGTTGGCAGTGATGTTTGTCCAGCCTGGATTGGGAATAGCACACGAGTTTCGTGTCAGCCATGAGGCAACCACGGCCCTGGGCCCAGAACTGGTCTGTCAGGAAGGGTTAGTCCATTTTTCCTTTAATTTAGTTGGCCAGATCCTTTGGTCTTGGTCTTTTGCTGTCATGTAGAAATTCTCAACCTCTCTGTGTGTGGAAGAATGGCCCATAACCAGGAGGAGCAGGATATAAACAGCACAAGGACTCTCTGCATAATTCCTGTTTGTTTTTAAGCCACCACAAGGGCTTACATTTGTTACAGGTATTCATGGTGAATAATACCAAATTAATCCAAGTAACAAAAGCTGTAATTAGCCTCCGAGTAATGATTCTTGAAGTTTTAGGTTTTTCTAGGAATACTGAAGTGCAGGAGAGATAGGAAGTACACTGGCTGATCATTAAAATGGAAATTACACTTTTAATTAGAATCAGAAACAAGAAGAGGATCTTGCTCATGCAGGTCTGATGTTAGTGAGGTACAACACTTATTTACTGTCGTGTTGTGAAGAACAACAACATGATATTCAGCTTTGGTTTTGTCTGTGTTTTTGAGGGAACTGGGGAGGGATTTCAGAGTGGAGATGTTGGCCTGGGTTGGTGGTTGTATTTGACAAGTACTTTGTTGCTGAGCTGGTTTATTGGATCAGAGACTGCTCTGCTCCACCTCTACCTGTGTTGGTGTCCTTGTGTTCTCCAAGCTCTCCCTGCACTCATTTCCCCAAAGCCACATGTTCTTTTAATACACAGCTTTTATTTGACAAGAATTTCATGAAGTATCACATTTCTTGTTGCATTATTTACAGGTCTAGGTGTCAAATTCACATTATTAATTAAAATGACAAAAAATCCTGAAGCACAAATGTGATTTTTTTTCTGTCATTTGAAAAGCAATGCTATTTTTAGTAACTGTGTTATCCCTCTTGTTTGCTGAGTACAGTCGGAGGAGGATGAATTGGAGTTGGTGAGTTGGGGCTGCTGTTTGCTGAGAGACAGCAAGATGCTGGAAGTGTCTTTCACTACAGCTTTTTAACTGTAGTTTCATTACATATTTTAAATAATTCCAGTGTTCCCTTGGTAGCAGACAAAAATACATTTGTTTTATCAGACTCAAAACCCGACCAATTCAAGTTGAAAACACATCCAAAGTCAGCTCTTGCCATTTGTAAACTTGTATTATTTTTTTTTTCCTGAAAATGTTTCTGTTTTTCTTGGAGGGAACATTGGAAAAGAGCCTTACAAAGTAACTGTCCATGTGTGTAGGATATGTCCTGGCTTTTATGTAAAACATAAATAACCACTTCCCACCCCCTAAATTATTGGAATATTTTTAGCAAGTGGCTTCACTTGTGAAGTTCTTGAGATTGTAACACAAGCCCTGTGTTACTTCTCTTATTTTCAAGGAGATGACATCATTGCTGGTGAGGTCACCTTTTTGGAGGTTGGAATTATTTCATCCTGTGTGAGATTATCAAACCACAGGGGGGTGTTCCCTGTTTACCAAAAGGAACAGAGGATTGCAAATGAATAATTCTACCTTTTTTTCCCAGTGGAAAGATATTCTGCTTTTGAAAGGAAACTCTGGGGATTTGGGTATTTTTCTCCTCCCCCCCCCAAAGGTTTGAACATTTGGCATTCTGGCTGGAAAATCAAAGTAAGGCTAAAATAATTCCTGACTTATTTTTAGAGCCATTTGCAAATTGTTCAGCTGCTGTGGCACAAAGCAGGCAGAAGATGCTGCATCAGATTCACAGAGAAATCAGCCCATGGCAGGCCTTGATTTGTCTCTGAACATGGACCTGTTGCTCAGAGGAGGCTCTAATTGCATGGAAGCATGGAAAGTGTGGTGATTTAGATCAGTGCCGTGATTGAATGCATGCTGGTGGTTGATTGTTACCTTAAACACAGACATTGATTTACAAAAGTGAGGGAAAATGGTCACTGTTGAAGTTTTTATTGGGGTGATTTGCTCATGGAACAGTCAGACATGTTCCTCTCCCTTCAGGGGAGCGTCTGGTTTTCAGTGCAAGAAATAAAGCTCAGTGTCAAAACACTGAATCAGGATATCGCTGCAATTGGAATTAATGCAAATGCTGCAGGAATTCAGGTGTTGCTGCCTGCCCAAAATTGCCAAAACTGCTCTGCAGTGGGATGTAGCAGTGCCTGGGGCTGGGATCCCGTGTGGAGCGTGGGCCATCTAGTGGCTCTAAACCCTGGCTCAGCCGGAAGGGGAGGAACAGTCACACAAAGGAGAGGTGATGTGTCTGTCTCACAACGCTCAGGAGGCACCGACTGCACCTGCACTGCTCTGGTTATGGCAGTCCCTGCTGCCAGTGCCAGTGCTGGGCAGGGCCAGATCCTGTCTGTGAACACTCCTTCTGTGAGGTTGGAACTGAGCACTGAACATGAAAAACAGCCACAAAGGGCAGTGTAGCATAACAGAATAATTAATAAGATAATCAATAATAAATAAAAATAATAAACAATAAAGATACTGAATTTTTCCTGTTAGATTTGCACCAGCTAAAACAGTTAAAATATCCCGAAATTTGTCATGGACCTCCAAGTACAACCAATGTTGGGCACATCTAAATATTTCTTAGTGTTCAGCAATTATATTCAGAAATAAATTACCTCAGAAAACCACCTTTATTAGCCACTCAAAAAAAAAAAAAAAAAGAAAGAAAAAAAATCCCATGGGGAAATCCTTTGGTTTGGATTGTTTCCCAGTATATTCCTCTTTACTTTTCCATTATACAGTAATCCCAACTTTATAGGCTGCCATCCAAGAAAGCTTTGGAGAAAGGTCAATTCCTGACAGACACAAAAATCTGCTCTAATAACATCTCTTTGTGCCAGATAAACTTGGTCTGGGGGGGATTTTCAGAAGTACTAAAGTGATTTAAAGGGATCAATTACAGAAAATCGGTGGGACTTTCCCTGGGAGCTTTGAAATCTGGGAGCTCTGGAGCACAGTGGGCTCATCTGCCAGGGTGTGTGTTTGGCAGCTGATGCCAAAGAGCCCCCAAATCCTTGGGAGGCTCAGAGGTGGGAGTTGAGCAGCAGGAGAGGTGGGAAGCTGGGAGGCTGTGGCTCGTTTTAATGTGGAAGCTGTGGTACAAACTTCTTGCTTTAAATGGGAAGGACACAAGATTGATAACCCTCAATTCATCTTCACAAATCTAAGCTTAAAATTGATCACAGCCCCATTTCTGTACCTGCTCCTTCTCATATTAAAAAGGGAGTGATGCATTTTTAATGCTGCTCCTTCTCTCAAGATCAGAGTGGAGGAAAAAAAAATGGAGTGGTGCAGATCCTGAAATCCCAGTTTCTGGCAGGAAAGGGAAAGAAGTCATAACTTCAGTCCTGTAAAGGTGGGAAATGGAACCTGCCAAAGAGATGAAGGAAGAACTGCTCCTTTTGCAGCAAATATTTTTTCTGAGGTAGAGAGAGAGAGATTTGCCTTAAAAAAATATTTGCAGCAGATTGAAACCCAGCTCCCTGAACTGGGAATGGTTCTGGAGGAGTGGAGGAAGGCAGGGTGCAGAGGCTGCTGCCACTGCTGCAGGTACCACTGAACAGGGCAGAGCTGCCCCATTCTCTGTTCCTGGTAGTGCCTGGCCTGGCCAAACAGTGCCCAACCCCCTGTTCTGAGGAGCACTTGGTGCAGTGAGAGCAGCTTTGCTGGCTGCTGCTGTTCACCACGGGCTTTAATTAACTTTCTAAGCAGCAGATTTGGTCACAGCTTAGGTTGAGTGATGTGTTTGCTGCAGATGTTCATGGCAGTAAATGGGAAAGAAAGGCTGTTATTAAAAAGCGAAGTTGTGCCCACAGTTAGATAATGTGAGACAATCTAGTTTAGCTATTTTCCCTGTCAAAAAGCACAGTTGCTCTGTGTGAACTCCAGTGTCATTTGCTTGGAAACATTTCTGCATTATAACAAGTACTCTCTCAGTTTCTCAGGAACCATGGGAACAGCAAGATTATTTTATCACTGAAGTCTTATCAACACCAATTTAGAAGATCTCTGTGTTCCTTTCAGGACAGGTGTAGTCAGCACAGTGTCAAAACTGGCAGCTGAAATTTGGAAAATTGGATAAACAACTGTGAAGTGGGAGAATCTCTTCTGGTGGAACTGCACCTCACCATCTGCACTAAAACCCCCTTAAAACTCAAAACTCTTAAATCACTTCAGAACTTCTGAGAATTGTTGTGTGTATCCCTAAGAAATTGCATTTGTTTGTGTGTCCTTAACACTGTTGCAATCTGCATGCTGTGGAAGTGGCCCAGTGAGCCGTAATCAGTGTTTCCTTTCAGTTTGCCAAGATCATTTTTGGTTGCCTTGAAATACTTCAGCTTGTTTAGAAAATCGACCCTGATCAAAAGAGGGACGTATTTCCTAACTCAGAAACTCGGCACAGCAACACATTTAGGTGGAATGCTCCTTTGCTTTTCCATTGTTCTCCCTGGTGTCACAGTGGTGTTTTCCCTCCCTTGCAGAACACCCAAAGGATCAGCAGTTCTCAGTCCACGCAGCCTCTCGCCACCCCCGTGGTGTCGGTGACGACCCCGAGCCTGCCCCCGCAGGGACTCGTGTACTCGGCCATGCCCACGGCCTACAACACTGGTGAGCCTTGGGATTGGGATCTGCAGCACTGGGGAGGCTTGGGATTGGGGGATACAACACTGGGAAGGTTTGGGAGCAGGGCTGGGACTGGGATGGCCGAGGCTTTTTTGGGATTCATAGGCCCAGGAAATTCGCATTTCTGTGGCACGTGGGTTTGTTTTCCCGTTGGGTCCAAGTGAAGCTCTTGTTCAGCAAAACTGAGCCTTTTGCTCGTGAAATATGTAAATGTTGGGACTTCCATGGGGAAGGAGCTTCCAGTCAGGCTGCAAACCAGGGCCATCCATTGCCCAGAGCAGTGCCATTGCAGCCATCCAGCCGGGAATACTGGAATTCCTCACATTCAGGCAGTGGCTGGTTCTTCAGAGCTGCTGTTCCTGCAGGACCTTAAATCTGCCTTTTGCCCCAACTGGCTGTGATGTGAGGAACTGGGTGATATAAAAGTGATGAGTGGTTTGCTGGTTTGGGAAGTAGCTCCTGAGTGACAGGACAAGGGGAAACGGCCTCAGGTTGCACCAGGGAAGGTTTACATTGGATATTAGGAAAAATTCCTTCACCAAAAGGGTTGTCCAGCCCTGGCACAGCTGCCCAGGGCAGTGGTGGAGTCCCCATCCCTGGAGGGATTTAGAAGGCACATGGATGTGGCACTTGGGGACATGGGGGAGTGGCCTTGGCAGCGCTGGGGGAGTGGTTGATGATCCTAAAAGTCTTTTTCAACCTGAAGTGCCTCCTGCTTTTCTCCATCCCAATAGAGATAATTTTCCCTTCAATCTCAGGTTGTTTATTTGCCTGTGTGTAATCAGGGAAGGAATCTTGCTAATAATTTCCATGAAGGGCTCAGGTTGATGAGCACTGAGCTGTGCTGTGTAGTTGGATTTTCAGCTGCACCTGCAGAGAAGCTACATTGCAGAGAAGTGTCAATAAATCCTGTCAGTCAGAAATAATACCTTGGGGTTTAAAACTGAAAGGAAAGTGAAGGAAATAATTCCCCAGTTTGCTGTTCTTTAGATGAAGTCTGGTTAAATGTTCAGATGTAAGTGCTGTAATGGGTTAGAAGAGGAATTTTGGGAGGGGGACAGGGACACACCTGCTGCAGAGGTGGCTCCTCCAGGAACAGAGCAGGAGCTGCCCCAGTGCCAAACAGCTCCAGCAAGGACCTGCTGCTGCCCGAGGCTGAGCCCCCCTGGGATGGCATTGTTAGGAAGGGGTAAAACCAGCTGTGCTGGGCTGTTGGCAGTGACCTCGAGGTCTTGTTCTTGTGCAAAGGTTGGGACAAATCACAACAAACTTCAAGGTTTGTACAAAATGCCCAAAAGCTGAGTGAGAGGTTTTGTCGTCTTTGTTTTCTACAAGGAGGAGCATCACCAGGAGTCTCTGATTTTGGGACATGGAGTAGACAGAGCAGCCATTCTTTTATGGTCACTTCCCCCAAAAAAGATGGGATTTTATACATTTTTCTCCACTATTTTTAGCTTTGAAAGTCTTCACTGCAGTTTTTATTTTAGCCAGCCAAGCACCTCACTTCTTGTATTTGCCTTTGAGCTCATTATCTGGCAGTGCCCTGGGCAGGGCTGCAGCCAGGAGGGCTCAGGGACAAGGGACTGTGCCCCCCTCAGGGACAAAGGATTGTGTCCTCCTCAAGGACAGGGCTGTGCCCTCCTCAGCCAGGGCTGTGTTTGCACCAGCCCAGCTGTTGAACATCCACACAAATGTCTCTGCCCTGAGGGGGTGAAGTCTAAAGGGAGGCAGGAGCAGTGTCATGGACAGGGTGAAGATTTGTGACTTGCTTTGGAACCAAATTTCAGTGTGAAGTAGCTGCACATGCAGACCCAGGACTTGCCCCAAAGGTTGTTCATCTCTTGGATTTAATGGCTGTTCAAAGCAAACCCTTCTGGTCCCTACTCAGAAGGCCCACACTGAGCTTCCCCTGTTGCCTGACAGATCCCTCTGTTCCCTCACAGGCTGATGTTTCAGGAAGCAGCACTGGGTGCATCCCTCATCCAGAATAACCTGGAAGATTCACACATGCAGTGGGAACCTCAGGGAGCAGCAAAGACAGTGGAAACTGGTGTCCTACACAATTGGACAAGTGCTGGTATCACTGGGATGTGATTTTAAAGCCCAGCCCAGCCCATTTCCTCTGATAATGCAATAATTTGTGCAAAGCTTTCAGCCTTTAGTGGTTTTCACACACTTAAGAATCATTTCTATTAGACTGAGCCTTTCAAGGGATTTGCAGGACGAAATTTGATGTTGAAACCAAACTGTCATCTGGGGATTGTGAGGGCAGTCACCACGTACGTAGCAATTCCAGCCTTGCAGTTCTTTGCAGGACTGAGATAAAATTTCAATACCTAAATTGTTTTTCTGGATTGATGAGGTTTTTTCCTCACCCTGGCTGGAAGGGAGGGATTCAGCTCTTGGATCCTTAATTAAAGCACTGGGTATCAGTTTTCCACAAATATCCTATTTTGTATAATGTGCTTTGCTGGAGAAGTGTTCCCTCTGTAGAGAAGGGCCAGAACCACCTGAGTTACTGGTTCTAAAACATTCTAGAAATTAAAACAAATATTCAAACCCCACAGCTGAGCAGAGCACACCAGGCCATAAATTACATACCTGGCTGGGTCTGCCTCTGGGTTGGGGATAGATTGTGTTTTCCAGTCTCCATTTCAGTTGTGTTTTTTACTTGATGATGGTTTTTTACTTGAAGAAAAGAGGTTTCTTTTGTTTATTTGATATGGAGATGACAGTTTAGTCAGAGATTCAGGAGTGACAGTGTGTGGAGGGGAGGGTGTGATGTGTGACAGTGGGACTGCACTGAGGGGTCCCTTGGCAGTGCCTTTGGCCCTGCTGTCCCTCGGGCACCCGGCCCCTGTCCTGCCTTCCCAGAGTTTCATATTGAAATGTCCCTGCAGACAAAACCCTTCAGAGTGTGACCAGTGTTACTGTGAGGTGCACACCTAGATATATAAAATGCATTCATATGTTGTACCTGTGGTTTGGAAGAAGCTCTGAGCAACATGTAGGACCTGAAAGCAGAGTGCAGAAAAACTTGTCATTTGGAGGCTTCTGTCCTGTTAAGCTCCCTGTGAGGTTGGGAGGATTTCTCCCAGACTTCAGTTTCCATGTTTGGATTCCTGTGGATCAGGAATTGCCTTTATTTGTTTTGGGCAGAAAGCCTTTGCATGTGTGTGTAACACATAAACTCTTGTGTATTTATTCATGTGTGTGTATATATATAAATCTATAAATCACTCTTGTTTGTTTTCCCTTAGATTACTCCTTGACCAGTGCAGACCTGTCTGCCCTGCAGGGGTTTAACTCCCCAGGAATGCTGTCCTTGGGGCAGGTGTCTGCCTGGCAGCAGCACCACCTCGGTCCCGCGGCCCTCAGCTCCCTTGTGTAAGTACTGTGGCCCTGGGGGGCTTCTGCCTCTTCCACCTGCACCAAGGGTGTTCAGCATTTGACCCATTTTACCTTCTTATCTGTGCTGCCAAACCTTCCCATGTTGGGGTGTTTGTCCCTTTGGTCACCTCAGGCCTTGGCTGAGGTGTCCCTGCAGGCCCAGCTTCTTACCTGGGAGGCACCTGCTGGTGAACTGGAATGTTTGGCAGTGGGAAATACCTTTGTGCATTCTGAACTTTTGTAAATGCAGCTCAGACCTTTTTTTTCAGCGTTGTTCTGACTTCAGTGAGGTGCATTTGGAGGGTGCTGAGCCCCAAGAGCCCCCTCAGACACACGGGAATTGTCGCTTTCCTTCCGTGTTCCTTGTTTCCTCACTTGTGCCTTTCAATGCTCTCTCCCCAGCACTGGCAGCCAGATATCTCAGGGTTCCAATCTCTCCATCAACACCAACCAAAACATCAACATCAAGTCTGAACCCATCTCCCCTCCCCGGGACCGCGTCACCCCCTCGGGGTTCCCTCCGCAGCAGCCGCAGCAGCCGCCGGCGCCGCCCCGTCGCGGCAGGAGCTGGGGCGCTCCCCGGTCGACAGCCTGAGCAGCTCCAGCAGCTCCTACGACGGCAGCGACCGGGAAGATCCCCGGAGCGACTTCCACTCGCCCGTGGTGCTGGGGCGGCCGCCCAACGCCGAGGACCGGGAGAGCCCGTCGGTAAAACGGATGAGGATGGACACGTGGGTGACATAAACCCGCGGGGCCGCCCCGCCAGCCCGGTGTCCCCAGCACGAACTGTCCTGACATATCCACATTTATAAATAAGGACGTGACTAAGTATATTTATATGTATATACATACGTGCATATATATATCTCCACATGCATATATATGTGCTAGTGTGTGTAGCATACACCGATCATCAGGCACTTACGACAAACTCGTGTATAGCTGCAGATGTCCCCTGGTAAAGCAGAACAATCCCGTAGGTTTGATCTAGTCTGGCACTTCCCTGGAGTTGTGTTTGGCCCCAGCCGTTGGCAGAGCGTTGTCCCCGCAGTGTCTCCTCCTCCTCCACAGCCCAGGGCTCGCCTGTAGTACGTCCCTGTGTGTTAGTTCAGCTCATGGTTACTCGTAGTTAAGAAATAATTGCTTTGTAGCAGCAGAGCAGTAGAAAAGCAGGAAGAAGAAAGCAATACTGTACATAAACTGACCTTTTATTACCCAACCTGGCATGGGTCTCTATTGCAGAGGGTGCATGGAGAAGGGCTGATGCTATAAGAAATAAAAAAACATAAAAAACAAAAACCCTGTTTTGCACGTGCAAAAAAAAAAAATAAAAAAATAGTGTATTGGGTCAAAGAAGTGATTTTTTTAATGAGTGAAAGACATAGAGAACTCGCATGAAATATTCAGAAAATATTAGCCTAGAAAATAGAACATTAACAAAATAAAATTAATATATTAAGTTATAATTGGAATATGTTTGACAAATTTGTTTTTACGTTCATACCTTTGAAAAATATAGAAACGGATTTTAGCTCATGTATATTTTATATTAAAGAAAACAATACCCTAATGAATTGAAGACTATATATAAAGTTATATACAGTACTTTTGAACACATTCTGCTATGAATTATTTATATAAGCCAAAGCTGTATGTTGTAGCTTTTTTGTAGAGTATAGTTTTATCTTATTTTGACTTTCTAGTTTTTGCTTTCAAAGATGAAAAGGAAAAACTTGCAGGCGGAACCTTGGGGGAAAAATAAGCCATGAACACTTATATGTAAATTTAAATTTGAGCCAAACTCTTTGTGTATATAGCATCCTAAATATATTATCACCTTTGGTGTAAGTACCTATGTATTGTACGGTCACCAGATTAAAAAGTATATTTTTGTGGATTGACGCCAACTTGAAACAAGGCGAGGTCCTTATTAAGTAGAGTATTCACTGTTTAATATTTACTATTTTGTTAAATATACTGTACTTTCTTTGGATTTTAATTATTATTAATATTATTATCCAGATTTTTCAGAGGGTGTATAAAGGGGTTGGCCCCCTCACTGGTGGTGAATGTGTGCCGTTCAGTTGTAATCTCTGTGCTGTATGGTTAAGCTTCATTATACATTTTATATATATGTATATAAATAGCAAAGTGGCAAAAAAAAAAAATCCGGTGTTAAGTTCATCCTGCATAAATATAAAAAATCTGTTACAACACATTTTAAGGCATCATTTTAAAGCTGCCTCTTCTGAGGAGGGAGAAAAAAAAAACAGTGGAAAAACTTGACCTAATTTCTCATGATAGGGAAATGACACATATCAGAGGAGCACAAAAGGTTTTGGGAGTTGGCAAGTGGTTTGGGAAAAATTTGCTGCTTCCAAGAAATAGAAGGAGGGATCCAGATCCCCCTTGTGCTGTGAGCCCGGGCTGGGAGCAGGTTTGGTGTTGGAGTTGGGGTCACTGACAGGCTGGCGGTGCTGGGGAGGAAACTGCAGTGGGATTATCCAAACTTCGTGGTTATCCCTGATATTTATTAAACTTTTGCTTGGGCTTTATTTCTGTGTAATTCCAAGTCCCCCCATGCTGTGACAGGAGCTGGGAGAGGGGGAGCAGGAGATACCTGCAGCCTCCAGCCCATCCCCTGTCGTGGCAGCGGGAAACCCGCACAGGCTCCAGTCCCTTCCCAGCCCTTCCTTGGCCCTGGATCCCATTAGTTTGGGATGGTACTGGCTGACAGGGCAGGAGGGCAAAGGGGACTCGTTCCCCAGGCCACTGTGCTCCCCAGTGACCGAATTCACTTGCCAGCCCCTGCACCTTTTGCTGCTCCGACCAGTGGTGTGAGTTCCATGATTTATGCACCTGTATGACCTTTGCTGTACATCCGAGTGGGAGTTCTGCATTCACATTTACTGTCTATTTTCTTGTGTGCCTTATCAGATGGCTTTGCTGACTGTATCTCAATAGTCTTTATTTCTATGCAGGTTTTTAAACAGTACTATTACTGTTTTCTTAAAGACAAAGCTACACAAGGGTTAGAGTTTGTATTGAAATTGCACCAATGAATTAAAAAAGAGTATTAAAGAAAATCAGTTCTAAAGAGCTGGGCTGGGGACTGGCCCTGTGCTGCCCCAGCCACGGCAGAAATGTCCTTCCACAGCCCTCCCGTCTTGGGGAGCAGCTCCTGCCATCGAGGAAATGGGAATCCTGGTTTTTAGTAACAAGTAACTCACTTTGGAACATACTTTTTTAGAAATTGTAAAAAAAAATGTTTTATAAAAAAAAAATAATTATGACATAGCACAGATATTTCAACAGGTGAAAAAAAAAGATAGTAATACTTTTTTAAAATTCTCTCTCTGCTGACTGAAGTGCAAGTGGATCCAACCCTGGGCTGAACCCAGTCAGGTCTGAGTGATTTAAGATTTTTAGCTCTGTTGTGACAAATCACCTCCATCCTCGAGCTCTCACAGTAGTTTTGGGAACGCCACGTTGTCAGGGACTCGTCAGAACTGCTTTAGCCTTGCCCTCCCCTCAAGGACACTAATGCAGCAGGAACTCCGAGTTACTGTGCGCACAAGAAATACATAGTAAATAAGGAACAAAACAACTCCTAACAATTGATCCTGGGCAGAAGTGAAATCCGAATGTGAAAGAAAGACTTAACCAATGTAAACATTTAAATCTTAGTAGAACCTTTCTTCACTTTGCTGTGCAAGAGAAACACTGCTTTGCTATATTTAAAATGGCTTTTTTAAAAGAGATTTATGTATTTGGTAAATGTTTGTAGTCAACAGTTCACAAAGAAGCTGTTCACGGTTTAATGCTGATAAGCCGTTTGGCGGCACAAGCTGGACTTTGTTGCCATCCTTGAGACGAATCTTTTAAGAAAAAAAAAATAAGTTAATCTCAATTTTTTTTCCCTGAATGTGTTGTTTTTTCTTCAATATACAATAAATATTCTAGTGAACTTTTTATCAAATGGTTAAGAAAAAATGCTAGAGGTTGTTGTAAAATATTTGTATCCTGCATTCACTAAAGTAAAGATACTGGCTTTTACTGTGTACTCCGGCCTCTCTCGTGTTTGCAGAGCACGTGGTCCTGTCTGGCGTGTCTGTGCCCCCTCCAGGTGTCCACTTCAGTCATCAGCTTGTGCTTTTAAACTGCAGTGAAGAGGATTTTAATCAACAGGGATTTTTGGGGGGATATATACACACACTTGTTACTAACACTCAAGTCAAAAAGTTAATGCTTGGTAAGAACATTATAACAAAAAGAAAAGCCTGGGTCCAGCCCATCCTCCTGCCCCTCGGGACACTCACGTTTCCTTCTGCTGCTCCCACTCCTGGTTCCTGCAGTCTGTCCTGGGGCAGGTGCTCGGCACAGTGCAGTGTGGGAACAAAAAAAAAAGCACAAGTTGTGCCCCTTGTGCTTTTATTATTTCATGTGGCTTTATTTAAAAATGTAAGAAATCCCCCCCGCCCCCAGAACAAAGAGATACAGCTCTTCACAGAAGAAAAATACAAGTTTTTGTTCAGTATAAGATACTTTACAGTCCTCATTTACAAAATTAGGTTCCCTCAGGCTTTCCTGAGCACTTTTTTTGAGAGCTGCAGGAAACACAGGTTGTCATTGTAACATCACACAGTTCTGCTTGTGTGGGGTGGAAATCCCTTAGTGTTTGGTTCCAGGAAGGCCTGGAATTACCTCTGCCTGCAGGCCTGGAATTGATGAATCCAATTTCTGAGGCCAATTCTGCTCTGCAGCAAAGCTCCCAAAGCCTCCCTTGCTGCTCCTCCCAGCAGGCAGTGTTCAGTGTCTCTGAAGAGCACAGCCCTCTACCCTCTGAAGCTCCCCCACTCTTCCCTACACCCTCAGCAGCTTTTTAATGCACATCTGCAGGTCACAGAACGCTTCACAATCAGCTCAGTCCTGTCCTAGAAAGGCTTTACCCTTCTTTCTGTGCCTTGGACTTCTGCCCTGGACCTTGCACCCTGCATGGGACTCAGCACTTTGCTCCCATGAAATCTGCACACAGGGAAATCAAGTCTGTGACTGACATCGGGTGTCTGAGATGCACCATTATAGACTATTATTAGTATTTTTAACAAGTCATACTGACTATACCCCCCTGCCAACAAAAGAGCCCTTGAGAGGAGTGTGCAACTCCTCTCCCTGCTCTCACATCCTCCTCCAACACCCTCTGCCCACCTGCAGTGGCAGGGCTGGCTCTGGCTGCACCCTGGGGACAGCACCGAGATCCCATCTCTGAAGGATTTCATGGAGGGGAGAGGTCTGGGCTCATCCAGGGGAGGGGCTTGACATCAACCTAATAAACCCAGCTCAAAGGTTTGCTCAGGAGGAGGATGATGAGGGGCTGGCACACCCAGCTTAGAGCCATCAGTTTAGGGTTAAGCCAAAACCACCATGGTCTGCAAGAAATAAAAATGACAGCTCTGAGTGAAAGAGCCCCCCCTTCTGTATTTTAAAGTGTTTCTTTAAAATACAAACAACCCCCAGCTTTCCAAGCACATTAATACTGCACTCTCTAGCTCAGCAGCAAAGGATTTGCTTCCAGACACGGCAGTAAGAAATACCTGAAGCAATCACAATAAATTGCTACAAAGTACCTTCCCTCAACAGTTCCCCACTCTTAACCCACCTGCTCAGTGACCTTCATAAGCAACAAATCATCCTTATTTTTCCATCACAATCACATCACCTCACTTTCAGTCAAGTTCAGGATTCCATCATCAGCTACTTATAAAAATAAAAATTATCTGTATCATTATATCCCCTTAGATGCACTTGGGTCAGTCACGAGAGTGTGGGCACCACTGCTGGAGAGACTGGAGGGGTCTCCCGTTTCCCCTTAGGACTTTTTTCCTACCACTGAGCTTTGTGGTAATTTCCCTTCCAATCCAGCTGTTGAAACATTTGAGGTTACTGTTGTGTTGGAGGTGTGGGCCACCAGGCCTTGTGTTTTAAAATAGATGATATAAAATACTGGCAGCACAATTCCTATCAGGAGCATGATGAACACGGCGTTCCACCACTGGATCCCGCAGTCCGCACCGTTCCCGGTGTCCCGCTTCCCCGGCTCGGGCAGAGGCCTCTCCAGGGGCTCCCCACAGTACTCTGTGTTCAGCTGCACCTCCACCTGCACGGCGTCCTGGATGCTCTGGTCGATGTCCCTGAAGTAGTCGCTGAGGTTTTGGCCGTTGGAGGGTCCCCCCGTGCCGGGGTCGGGCTCGGGCAGCTCCACGCGGGTCAGCCCGGGCTGGGCCGGAGGGAGCGGCCGCAGCTCCCGCCTGCTCTCCGTGAGCAGCCCGTGTGCCTTCACCGGGATCTTGATGGACTTCAGCGCGTACAGGTCCTGCTCCCGGATGAAGTTGTTGACCCGTTTGATGTCGGCGACCTACAGAACCCAAAGGACACCGACGTTAGTGCAGGACAACCCGGGAACAAAGTGGGAAGCAGCTCCAGAGCCATCAAACAGCTGTCAGAGAATAAAAGCAACTGGCTTGGGGTTCTGCAGAGATTCCCAGCTGAGGGAGCTCCAGGTCCTGCAGGATAAAGCCAGTCCCCTGTTAAACCAGTCTATACCCTCCTCTAGTGCTCTTGTATCTGCTGTACTTTGCTTGTTACTGTTCTTCCTCCCCTTTGCTTTCTTTGCCTTCCCTCACTTACCTTCTAATCCAAGTTAAGGCAAGAAGAGTCTTTGTAACAGATCCTTTTTAAAACAGTTTTCATACTTTACACACCAATGTTTAAGGTGAGAGGACAACATCAGCACCAGCAGTCAAACCCTCCAGCTCAGAAAGTGCTTTCAGAGTGAAGAGAGCTCCATCTCTGAAAGCAAGGTCACACCTGGAGCACAGGTGAGCGTCTCCCACACCAGCACGAGCATCCTGTGCCCAGGCACCACCTCTCCTGTGCAGGACAGCAGCTGATCCAGCTCATTCCTGCACAGCTGCTCAGTGCTCCTCCTGAGGGGCAACACCCCTGTGCCCTGAGGTGACCTTTGGTGGTTCCTGTGCAGAGTTCCCCTCTGTGACCCATATTCCCACCAGCAGTGGGAAGAGCAAGAAAGAACGAGCCACACGTGCAGAGCCAGTCACAGGGCCAGTCCCAAAGCAAAGACAAAGGCAAGACAGTGCCTCTTAATTTAACATTAGATAAAAGAAGATGCTTAATTAATACAGTGCCTGCTCACAGCCCCCAGGAAGTGCAGCAACTTCTCAGCTGCCCTAAACCCTCTGTCAAAGACAAACAGGATGTCAACATGTGTAAGGTGCTCTCCACAGCAGCCAAGGAGATGTGAAAGAACCTTGAGGGAAAGGCTGAGGACACAAAACAAATCAGCAAGACCCCAAGCCAAAGAGAAAGACAACATAAACAGCTAAACCACCTCTGCTACATCACACCAAGGAGACACTGCGGGGACTGTGCCTTGCTCTTTCAGAAATCACAGTATGACCTGCATTCACTGGGCACTCACTTGAGGCTGCCAAGGAAACTGGGGAGCTAAAACAAAACCAGCACTTCACTTCCCAAGCACTCTGCTCCAAGGCAGAGATGAGATGGATGCCTCAATCTCATGCTTACTCTGCAAAGCTTGAGAACTCTGAAAACAGCCCATTTAATGCAGGTCCTGATCTGGGGCCCCCGAGGCAAAGGGAATCATCCTTTGCTGGTTCAGGCTCCTCACAGGCTGCCCCAGTGCAACCCCTGCACTTAAACCCTGCACAACTTCTTAGTTATGAAACAACAATCTCACCCAAAGCCTCCGAACTGAGGTGCTGCTTCAATTTCTGGGTTTGTTCCAATGAAAACAAATTAGTGGGACAGTAAATATCCCCCGTGGTGTCTGCAATCAAACACTGCAGTGCTGTGCTGAGGCTCTAGAAACAGAAAGTGGAGCAGCACTCGCACAGAAACAACAAACAGAGCTGATGGGAAGCTTTGAGAGCCTGGGCTGCACAAGCCATTTAGGCTTATTTTCTGTACTCATTTTTTGGCTGCAGTTTGTTGCTCTTGTCCCAGCTATGAACAATGCCAAAAGCAAGCCAGGACTATAAATGGTCAAGAGTAAAAATAAGGATTTTAAAGGGCTTTCCATCTCTGCCAAGTTATCTGTGGCACACACACACACAGAGCTATTTGTTGCACTGTCTTAATACCCCCTCCCCAAGCAGATTCTGAAACCAATGTCAAGTTCTCATTGATTTCAAGAAGAAGCTCGTCCTGGATTTTTTTAAACTCATTTGCATATGCATTTGTGGCTACAGTTCTTCCTCACTGCTGTCCTGGGGGCCTTTCAGGAGCTGGTTAACTGTGCAAACAAAACAAAACTGATCAGTGCCTGTAAACAGACAAATACACAAATCTCCTATGATAAAGATTTCTGTACCTCTCCAATTTAACTGGAACTAGTCAGGAATGCCCTTCTGGAAGGAAGGGAGGCAGCAGGACAGTTTTTTTCCCGAGGGAGAACACCTGACTACCTGGTCCCTCCCTACCAGCTTTCCCCCTGGATGGGCCCAGCAGCCTTCAAGTGGGGCAGGAATGGGGCAGCAGAGGTAGATGAGCAGCCACAGCAGGGACAGGACTGACTCCTCAGAGTTACAGTGCCAGAGGGCACAGCAGGACTCTTCGTGCCATAAACCAAAGAGCTGTTCAGAACCTTCCTCCTCTGAGCTCACAAACTGCTGTGATTGTGCCCAAGCGGCAGTGACACAACTGCTGCTGCGAGAGGAGTGCTCAGGCACAGCTCCAGAGCCAACCAAAGCTGCAGCTCTGCCTTCCTGGGCTCTCTTGGTACCAATCAAAGCCGATTCAAGTCCTCCCAGGCTCTTCTCCGCACACACCAGGCCCCGCAGCAGAACCTACACGGGCGCCTTTTTTGTTTTGTGTTTGTCTCTAAGGGAATGGGAGGGGAGGAATTGTTGCAATCCCTCTAAGCCCTCTTGCCTCAGCTGCACCAACAGCTGCTGTGTGGTTAAGCAAGACCAACTGCAAACAGCAGTGCAGCAGCAGAGCCAGAGCCGTATCATCATCCCACTCCAGTCACTGTCCAACTGTCTGCACCATGGAACTTTCTAATCCCAGCCTGCGGATAAAGGAGGCTCTAAAAATACAGCTCCAACTGCTAAACAACGGGGGGCTTCTCATCTTCAGAGCAGGTAATTAAACTTTTCAACAGTTTTTCTATGAAGTGCCCTGCTTTGGAACAAAGAGAAGATACTGGGCAGAGTGTTCCAACTCGGAGACAGCTCACCCTGCCCACCCCTCCCTCCTGCCCCCAGGCAGCTGATGGAGCACACTTTGGGCACGACAGCAAACAATCAAAACCCACACACAGACAGCACCTGGACTCTGGGACCTGAACTTTGGCACCTCTCCAACTCCACCCCTTACACTCAGACCTTCCTTGCAACATGTAAACTGATACCTTTCAAAGAACAACCCCAAATCCCACCCCAAGCCAGACCTATCACAGTGGTGTTTCTTTGTACTGCTTTATTTGCTGCAAAAACTCTTAAATGTTCCTTGAGAGCAGAGCCCTGACCCTCATTTCTGAGCTCAGCTTCCTAATGTTTGCCCTCACTTCAATGAGTTAGTACAACCTGCACTTAGTCACTCATATTAAACAGGAAAGCAGGTCAGGCAGGGTGTGAGGCTGACGACACCCTCCTCAGCTGTTGGCTGAACAACTCTTTTTTTTGTGTCTGTCTGGGAGTTTTTTGCCTTTCTCCAGTTTCACCCAGATATTGACCATTCATGAAAAACACAGTGTATTTTCAGCATCAAAACTCTCAGATACCAGGACAGTAAGGTACCCATGGAATACCTCTGAAGTGATAACCCCACCCAGAGAAGGCTCTTACTTTACAGCCGTACTGCAGGGCCAGCTTGTTGAGGCTGTCACCCTCCGTGAGCTCCCGCTCCAGAAGCACCACAGCTCCAGGCCTGTCCCGGGAAGTGCTGCCCCGCTGCTGCTCTTTCCCCCTGGGCCGCAATTCCATGACGTTGAGCTCCTCCTCCTCCGAGGACTCCTCAGAGTCGGATGGGCCATCGGGAAACACATAGACCTGCCTGCCCGGGTATTTGTGGACCGTGACAGCAGCCTGGAAGGATCTTGTCCGGCTCTCATTCAGCCTCATCTTCCACACCAGCACCTGGAACAAAAACCAGACGTTTTTAATTCCCTCAGTACCAGTGTTCAGTTCTCAGCATGTGAGATTCAGAGGATGGACAAAAAGCACAGCAGTGTGTGAACACACAATCCTTTCCTCTGTCCAAGGGTAAAAGTGCCACTCTAACAGTAATATCAAAAAAGTTATGTACAAACTGTAGCAATATATTATTATAGTAGATTATTTATTATTATTATTATCACAGTAGTAGTATATAATTTTTTTATTATAGTAGATTATTTCCCAACCTTTTCTTTTTTTGTCTACCTGTGGACAAAACACCTCATAAAACCACTTTGCACATTTTAAAAGACACTTCCTACAATTTCATTTAAAAAGCAAGAGAGTCACTTTGAGTGAAGTGTCTTTAATTATGGTCAAAAAATCCATGGAACATATCAGATCTCCTACCAAAACACTCAACTAAATTATCCTTTAAGTCACTTTTTCTGAAGTCCTTAGTTGTCTACACTTTGAGAACCCACATTTTAATTTCTTGGAAGTGTACTTTTTTTTTTTTAAATAAGGACAGCTCAAGCTACACTTAACTTCAACCTGACTGACAAGGCCATTTTGCTGCATAAAGACAAGAACCTGCCCAAGCATTTTAATTATTGCTCAGCCTGCAGCTGCAAGTTGTTATTTTTTGTTTTCTTCAATCCTCAGCTCCACAAACAATTTGTTCTCAGAGCTGGGTACACATAAGGAAACTTCGCATTCTCATGGAATCCCATTGACCTTAATATTCTCCCCCTACCCCTAATGGATTCTTCAGGTGAAACCACGACCATTTAATGGCATTAATTAGCACCGGGCAGGGCACCCACAGCTGGGGCTCGGCTGTGCCGGGTGACCCAGGACCGCACACCTCGGCCTCCCCCCACACACCGCCCTCTCCAGGGAAGGACAAACTCTTCCACGAGCCCCTCAGGGGGTCCCGAGCTCCCCCAGCGCCTCAGGGGACCCCGACCCGCTCAGCACTTCAGGGGGTCCCGATACCCTCAGCCCTTCAAGGGACCCCAATCCCCCCCATCCCCTCAGGAGTGTCCCAATCCCCTCAGGGGTCCCCGATCCCCCCCATCCCCTCAGGGGTGTCCCAATCCCCTCAGGAGTCCCCGATCCTCCCCATCCCCTCAGAGTGCCCGGCTCCCCTCCGCACTTCAGGAGTCCCCACACCCCTCAGAGGACTCCACTCCCCTCAGCATTTAAGGGGAGTCCAGGTCCCCTCAGGGTGTCCCCGTTCCCCTCAGAGTTGTCCTTGCTCCCACCCCTCTCCCCCGGCCCGCGCCGCCCCTCACGGTACCCGCCGCCATCGGCCTCTCACACGACCTGGCACACGCGGCTCACCACACTCCTCCAATTGGCTGGCGGCGCGAGGGGCGGGCCTCAGCGCCCGGCCAATGGGGCAGCGGGGAAAGAGGGTGGAGCGTTAACGCGCGGAACGCGGGGCCTCATTAAAGGGCCGCGCGGCCGCGGAGGGACCCGAGCCCGGTGCACGTTACACCGGTACAGGGGACATGTCACACACCTGTACAGGGGACATGTCACACACCGGTACAGGGAAATGTCACACACCGGTACAGGGGACATGTCACACACCTGTACAGGGGACATGTCACACACCGGTACAGGGAAATGTCACACACCGGTACAGGGGACATGTCACACACCTGTACAGGGGACATGTCACACACCGGTACAGGGAAATGTCACACACCGGTACAGGGGACATGTCACACACCTGTACAGGGGACATGTCACACACCGGTACAGGGAAATGTCACACACCGGTACAGGGGACATGTCACACACCTGTACAGGGGGACACATCACATAGCTGTACAAGGAGGAACGTCACACACCCAAACAGCCCTGGATGTGGTGTCACTGCCCTGGGGGATGTCACACGCCTATATGGCCCTGGGTGTGCACCAGGGCACGTCACACACCTGTACATTGGGGCACATCACACACCTGTACATCAGGGCATGTCACACACTTGTATGGCCCTGGGTGTGGTGTCACTGCCCTGGAGGATGTCACACACCTGAACAGCCCTGGTCCATGTCACACACCTGTCCCTGCATCACCCTTGGTTTTTCAAGCAGCAGCCACTGCTCCCTCACAACCCTCACCTGCCCACACACCTCTGTGGGCTGAGGGATTTCGGCAGGGCTGGAAGTGGGGTGGGAGACTGGCCAGGTAGGGCTGGGGCTGAGCCAGCACCCCATCACCAAGCAGGGATTAGGATTCCCTCCCCTCCATCCCTGGGCCAGTCTGTGCCATGAGCAGATGACTGAGGCTCAGCCAGCTCACACAGTTTTCTGACCCAACAGATATGGATTTAGGGTGCTAGAGAGGGCTCTGCAAGTGAGGGGACTAGATGAGACGTGCCAAAACTCCTTCCCTGAGCCACTTACAGCCTCCCTGTGACTATTCAAAGTTCAAAAGTTACAAGCAATGATCACATTTTGTCAAGCAAATCCAGGTCATTCAGGGTAAGCTGCTCAAAACTGGAAAACACAACTGCTGAGGTGATCTGGAAACATGGGGGAAACAACCAGGCTTTGCTGAGGGAGCTAAGTCTGGGCTTACTTGTCCTTGATAGTGCTTAACAAGAAATAACTGTTTTGTAGGAGTGCTATTCTTGGCTCTGGGTCAATTGTGTGGATGATGTCATCATTCCAAATAATTGGAATATTTTTGTTGTTAGCTGATAGACTGTGAGAGCTGCAAAGCCCCAAACAAGTGGAGTCTGTCTGAGAGCTCAATGGTTCAGTCATTATCTACATTCAACCAACATAAGGGTCAGACATGCCCTGAACTTCAGGAGGAAATCCTCCTACCCCTGACTTATGTCGGTGCAGAGGGCACCAGAACTGAGGAAGTCTTTCACTCAATCCAAGGGGCTGGGATGATGCTGGGCACCATCTGGCCTTCACACCCATGCAAGCTCCTTCCCAGGGCACAACAGAGTTGATGCCTTTGTGATAAAGAATGAAAACTTGATTCTTGGTTGGGGTCTCCACACAAACTAGGACAGGGCTCTCCTCAGGGCCCTGTGACTCCTTGAAGCTCTTGCTCAGATCCAGAGTTGCTGTTCTCCTCATCACTTTGGTTTTCTCCCTCTTTTTTCAGGCTCACTTCAGAAGCTTTCAAAGTGTCAGACACATAATTCTTGTGAGTTCCTTGCTTCTCTTTTTGCAGCCTTCTAAGCTCTGCAATAAAATCTGTAATTTGAATCTCAGATCACTCAGTGGCAGGCTGCTCTCCACCCTTGGGAAACGAATAAATTCATGTGTGACTGGCAGAAAGCAGCTCCTGTCCCTGTTGTGCAGGTGTTCCCTGAGCTCACCTGTGCAGAGCTGGGCCATTTCACACATCCCTGCACACCTTGTCATCAGTGCCAAGGGATACTCATGCTCCAGCTGCTCAGGATGGCACCTGACAGTTTCCAACTGTTCAGGACCAGCAGGAATAACAATTGCCATTCATAAATCACCAGGGCCATCATTAATGGTGACTTGATCCATAATTTGGGATTAATCAAAGCAAGACAGAATGAAATCATTCACCCTTTTCCTTCACAGCCATATGGGCCATTAACAATACAAATGTAGAGTGTACAGTGGATAAAAGATGAAGGAGGGGACCCCCACAAGCTGTGAACTCCCTCCTGATGCCACGTACAGCACAAGTTACAGAAAAATCTATTGAGCATCTGCTTAATATCAACTAATTATTCCTGTTTAGTTTAGCAAGTATAGGGGAAGGCTCCTATACAGCACTATAAGGCAACAGAAGTCTGCTAATAGTTCTGAGTTATATATATGTAAAAAGAGAAAAAGATGAGTATTCCTTTCTGTCTTCATTTCATTGTTTCCTAGTGGGAGACTGAAGCAAACCTCAGCCATGCTCAGGACACAGCATTAGAGAAATGATGATGCCTCTATTGCAAATAATGTATAAATGCTGGGCTTTGCTCTGGGCTAATGCAGCACAACCAACTTCAGTGAAGCCACCCCCGTGGTTAAGGCAGAAGTATGAGCCAAATACAGCAAAATAATCCTCTCCCTGGTGCCTGCAGTGACTAAGCTTATGTGGGTACTGTATGTACATCTGGTTGAATTATATGCACCATAAATCTAAGAGTTTGATACAGTGGGCACCCAACAGAGAGGAGAAAACCTCAGTTGCCCTCTCCAGGCAGGGCTCTGCTGTTGCTGACATGAGAAAAGGGATTTGTCACCCTGAGAGTCAGCTGTGAGGAGCTGGGTTCCCTGCACCTCTGCAGCAGTTCCTGCCCCACCCTCTCATGCTTTCCCTCCTGTCTGTAACAGAGCAGGTGTGATGACAGAGCCCCAGCTCATCATTCATCTCCAGCTCAGACATCAAATTACTGCCACCTACAAGAACTGCATTTGCAACTCTCTCACGTGTGCTGTGGCTCTGAGGAATGGGCCTTTTATCTCAGGAAGCAGGATGCAGATCTGAGCAGCACTGCTGTCTCCTGGAGGAGATAATGTGTCCCTGCTCAGAGCCCCTCCTTCTATCACACAGCACCACTTGGCAGGGGCTGCCTGGTTTGTGTGATAGCAGGCACTGAACTACTTCAGAAAAAGAGTGCCTTAATTCTTTATATAAAAACAAATGACTAATTAAAAGTGGGTTTGATTTTGTACTTCATATTTTCTTGGGACAGTGCCAGACTCTGGAGTCCACGCTCCACACCCTGTCCTTCTGGAGGAATTTGGCTGGGGAAAGCACTGTAAGATTTGTTCCCTTTCCTCTCCCTTACTCTTAAAATCCCTCCTCCCCCTTCTCCCTTCCTGCAACTGGTAAATTGTGAAGAACAGGAATGTTCCTGGGAAGGAACCCAGGCAGAGCTGCATTCAGAACAAGGCAAAGATTTCTTGCATAGCTGGAGCATGTGTTTGCAATCCCCGACTGCCAGAGCACGTCAGCCCTGCCAGGGAGTGCTGCTCCCTTCAGATGTTCTCACAGAGCTCCAGGCAGTGTCCAGGGCAGTCTGTGGACAATGCTTAGCTCAGGCACTGCTCCTGGGCCCATCTGCTAATGGTGCCAGGGGCAAAAAGGGTGAAAGGATGGCAAAGAGCCAACTGTTCCTTTCCAAGGAGCCGTGTCAGGGATGGTCAGAACTATCGAGCCACAAACTGGTTCCATGTGAGAGCTTGGCTGCTACTACCAACCTGTCAGCCCAGGCTCCAGGCAGCTTCTGGGACTGATGCTCTCCAGAACAATTAGCATGTGCTGCCCCAACAAAGGATTGCTCAACAGAGAAGGACAAAAGCACAAGATCCCAAACTGTAACTGCTGGGAAGCAGCAGATAGTCAATAACTACAGACTGCTCTCCCCTCAGCTTGAGAGGTGCCACTGATCCAGAGGGAATGTTACTGTGCCAAAAAAGTGTCCTTTAATGGCTCAAAACTGGGACCTGACAAGGCCAAGAAGGATGAGAGTTGGGGGCTGAGACACTGGTGGAGAAACAGGTTCAAAGTATCTGTGAGGAAGCTTTTGACCTTGGCACAACACAGAGCGTGGTACCCTACAGGAGCACAGAGTCAGTCCTTGCTCAAGCTGGTGCTGATACTACTGGGGAAAAGCAGGTTGATGAAAGCATCACTTGTCTTTCCAATGACCCTATCATGTGAGCTCAGCCTGCCAGGAGCTGTCTCTCTCTCTCTCTCTCTCTCTCTGTGCTCCTCGTGGTCTCAGCTAACGAGCCTGAACACGCTGTGCCAGTATCTGATATTGCTCACACTGCAGGGGGGTTGGACAAACATCCCCTCACGGGCTCTGGGGGTGCACACCCACCCCTTCAGAGCAGGATGATGACACCTCTGTGCTTTGCTCTGCCTCCAGGCTGTCTCCAGCTTGTCTAAATCCAAACATGTCCAATCTGATTTTGCAATTTTTAAAATATAAGGTGCCTGAGGGAAGGCCCTGAGCTTGAGGGAAGAACAGAAGAATCTTCCAAAGCAAGATCCTTGACCTCAGCAGCTGTGGGGCTGTGCTGGCTCCTCCTCATCCTTGCTAAGAGGGTTCCCACGTCTTTACTGGTGCATGGCAACAATAATGAGCAAAGAACACGTGGGGGCAGCAGAAGGCTTTGCTGCCTGGTATGGCAGTCTGTGGTTGTAGCATCCTCACAGGACCCCTGCAGAACTGAAGGGAGTCAATGTTTGAGGGTCACTGTGGTGGGCACAAGCCCAGAGTGACAACTACAGCTGATCAAACCCTGGGAGAAACATGTCATAGGAGAGAGGGGTTTTGTGGCCTCCTGGGACAGGATGTCAGCACTG